CTTAGTGCCGGGCTTATTTGTGAGCGGTAAAGATGGTTGTTTGTGAGTGCATTTTAAATCACAAATTTATGAAATGGAAATGTAGTACAAAACCATAAAACCAAATAAGAAAATTAAAATAAAAAGGAGTAGAAAACGAAGATTAAATCCGAGGCAAGTGTATTCACTCTCTCCTTAAGACAATATTGCCCCGCTACGGTGCTCACGGTTGGCGGCAATTGTCTCCCAAGATACAACGGATTCGATTTGTGGTAGTAGCACTTCAAACCACAAATCCAACGAACTTTCGACGGAGTTTCCCCTCTACAAGGAAACTCATATATGAAAAGAGATGAAGAAGAAGAGAATTGCAATTTTGAGAAGAATGAATGCTCAATATGCAAATGGTGTACTCTCAAAGTCATCCAAGGGGTCCTTTATATAGAGAATGGAGTGGTGTGATGAAAGGATTTGAGCCAAACCATGCAACCTTCCAAACAGGTGCCACTATTCCAAAACCACAATTTCTCATTCATTTTTGAATTGGTTTATTAATAAACACCATTTCCAACATCTTTCTCACGTGCAGGAATTAAATTGTCTGAAAATTATTTTATTGAAAATTATCAGTGAAAAATATTTAAATAAAAGTATTTTTTTTGTATTCGTTTAACTTTGTTTTCCATAACAATTGTTAATTTAAGGGATACTCTTTTTACAATTGTTTTTAAAACTTGTTTTCATTGCTAAAAAATAAAAATAAAATAAAATTTCAAGAAAATAAAAAAATTCAAAAATCATTTATCTTTTAGTATTCATTTGACTTTATTTTATATGAAATTTGTCAATTTAAGGGATATCTTCTTTTACAATTGTCTTAAAATTTGTTTCAATTACAAAAAATTAAAAAAAGAAAATATGAAAAACCAATTCCCACCAAAATGATGGAGAATTGAAAAGCCATGAAAGCAAATGTTGAGGTGGCGGTCAAAGCGGTAATATCAATTCCCTAAAAAAATTTGCCAATCAAACAAGCCAAAAGTGAAAATTGAAATTTATTTTCCATTTTCTATAAAAAAAAAAAAAAGGACTATCAAACATAGCCTAAAAGGAGCAAAATGATCATTTCATTAATTTAAATTAAAATATTATTAGAACAAAAAAAACCATTATACTACGAAAAAAGAAAAGAAATAAAAAAGTATAATTGGAGCAAAATATTTCTATCGTTTACCTTCATAACATATCATCTCTATCATTTCAATTTTAAGATTTGGGCCATAAGATCAATCAATGTTGAGCAATTCGCTTTTGATACTAATTTTGTCAATTTTCTTTGTGAGCTGATCAAGTGTAGCACACTTAATAAATGAAGCACATAAAGTCGTGCTTGCTTATGAAAGAAATAGGTAGAAGAAACGTCCTTCATCCTAAAATTCCAAGAAGCCCGAAATTCCTCCCCCTCGACTGTGGAAAAGAATAAGGTATTGCACGGTGCTACACTTCGGATTACGCCTTTAGGTAAGTTCGAGATGTTTAAAATGTTTGATTCTTCGACAATTTTATTTTATTATTATTATTTTTTTTTATGTGATCTGTTGTCGGATTGCAATCCTCATGCTTGTGGTAATTTTGATTATTTTCCTACCATACAAGTGCTATCTTAGTTAAAGATTGAGCTACATGTGTACCTTTTACATAATGGTACACATGATCTGGACAAGATATGATTAAATCAAAAATTCTTCATAAAAAAGAAGAAGAAGAAGAAAACTTCTCTGTTCTCTTTTAAATACTTTATTTGTATGTAAATCATTATGTAACCTCCATGTTTAAGTAGCATTACTTCTTAACTAATAATGAGAATGAAAAATATAGTTATTACAGGCTCTACATAAGAGATAAAATTTCAAATATGATGGCTTGATGTGATGAATAACGATCATATTTTTTATTTTAATGAATAAATAATGGAAACACAAACAGAAGCTAAATAGAAATGTTAGCTCCAAGATTTAGAATGTATGTGGAAGAGGCTCCCAAATATGGCGAGTTTCCATCTTTTGCCTGCGTAGTACCCTGTGCTCTTGTAGTGATTCAATTAAATGGTTAGAAATAAGGATACTACATGTTTTGTTCCCATTTTATACTGTTATTGATTTCTGTTTTTCCTCTGCTGCATTAGTTTGAAAGATAGTTTTTGTACAGTAAACAAACTATTTTTTGGCGTCGGACTGCATCGTAGGGTTGTGATGATACAATTGTCAAATTAATGACTAGTATAATCAAAAGGAAAAAAAATTAAAATGGAGATGAAGCGAGGTATACCATAGCAAATATTCTTAAAACAAATTTTGTTGGAATTGGTTCAAAAATTAACTGAAAATAGGCTAAGTGTAAAGCTGGGAAAATAAAAAGGTGTGACTTCGTGTCAACTTCGGTCGAATGTTCGGACTTGATCCGATGGTCAAATTATAAAAGTAAATAGACCAACTTGTTCTACTTGTCGAGTAGATCGTCGTGGTTTATTTGAAATCTCGAAACCAATTCCGGATGAATGAGAAATTGCGATCCAAAGTTGGAAGAATAAAGTGTTGCAACTTTTCGAAATGATGCAGGTTTGAAAAGAAGTGTTGCAACTTTTCGAAATGAAGTGTTGCAACTTTCCATGAAAAATGTTGGATTTGGGGTGTGTCCCTTCACCCACAACCCTTCATC